GCATTGGCAACACGCTCTCCTCCCTTAAATTACATACATATCTCACGTGATTTGACACAAAATTGGACCTTAATTTTGTTGGCCCCTTTGAACACTTGATTGGCAAAAAGAAGCAATTTTGAAAAGCTATTCGACATGAAATTTAGTAGATAAGAGAGACTTGTACATACATCACGTTGATGCGTAATAATTATTAATCGTTGATATATATAAGATCACTTACATTAACGGTTGATATGAGCGAATGTTATATATCTATAGAAGACACCGGATGAAATTGAACTATTTGCTATTGGTAATTATGATAATGGAAGAGGTTAAAAGGGACATTAAAGCAATTGAAAGGATGAAACTGGGGAGACAGAGATGGACATGAGGTTTGAAACTTAAAACAAAGTCTTAAAAGTCCTAGGAGGGTCGATGAGGTGTTTGATAAATTGTTTCAAAGACTTTTGAACTAATCCAAGACGTCTCTCAAAAGCGAAGACATGAGCTCAACTTTATGAAACATGCAATCAACTAAATTCCGCACCCAACGCCTATAAACCTACCTCTCTCGCACACAACAAAACACCGCCCACCCCCCATATACACCCCTCTCTCTCTCTCTCTCTCTCTCTCTCTCTCTCTCTCTCTCTCTCTCTCGTCTGTAAAATTATTCCAAAAATATTTAATACATGCACATGGGCCTCTAATACACGTGCAAAAAGAATGCGGGATTAAATTAATTATTTTAGAATCAATATATATGCTTTCACAAATTATTGTTTCAAGTTTAGCCCTCCTCACACACGACCAGTTATCATGTGTTTGTAATCATCCCCTTAATTTGAGAAGTGTCCGTGACCTGATAGTTCCTACTAGTGCTCATGACATGGAGAAATTTCAAATAAAACCGTTGACGCATTTGAGCACGTAGTGAAACCCACAGACATCAACAATTCATAAGTGAGCTTGTGATCGACAACATGTTATCAACATTCTTTCCTGGTTTGAGTAAATCTTATCTGCCATGCATAATGCATTACACGAGAAACCAATGTTCCATGAGAACAAACAGTCCAATTATGTTGTTTCGTTCCAACATTCCAACAATGTGATCTTTTAATGTGTCATGGGTTATCTATTTATGTGACCAAGGACATCTGCCACAAGTCATATAGTTTGTCTAAATGCATTAAAAAATTTGTTTGCATCATACAAGAGTCCTGTTGGCAAGCGTCACAGACGTGAAGCATAATATAAGTCTGGATCTCAAACCAAAACAGAGGTAGATTCCTGCCCCTCACCCTTCAAATGTCGGGACCGATTTAGCACGTAGTATTGATGATCACATTTGTAACAGAGGAAAGCTACGGCCATGTCAATTCTATCTATTTGAAAACTCATATGTATTAGATATATACTTAAAATATGATACAAATAGCGACATCAGTTGGTAAGAAATTTATTTGTTTGGAAAGAGAAAAAGACTAAGAGAGAGAGAGAGAGAGAGAGAGAGGGGTAATGGGGGGACAGGCAGGCAAGCTTGGTGGTGAAGAAAGGTAAGGGTCCAAGGGGAGAAAGAGGGACTTGAGGGGAGAAAGATTTGGGTTGTAAACCAACAAAAGAAAGAAGGGTAAAAGAAAAGGTTGTTCCCCCAATGTTGCTTCGGTCTGGCACAGTGGCTTTGCCAATACACATCTTTCTCTTGCTCCAATGACATTGATCTTCATCTTATCACTTTGTGTACATCTCAAGCATATAATATATTATATATATGCCATATATCCACCATATATAAGCTTGGGAAAGCTTTAGCTCCTCCCACTTACAATTAGTTCCAACCCGGACCAACCATTAGCTCCCAACATCTAATTACCACTGCCCCCATTGTCACCTACAATGTCAGTTTTCTATTTATTTATTTTTTTCTTTCACGTCTCAAAATTTATGAACCCAATAAAGGCCGCTAGATAGATACTGAAGAAGAATTTTTTATTTTTTTTTTAAAAAAATATATAATTAAAAAAAAAAGAAAAAGAAGAAGAACCCTTTTTTTTCTCTCTTTGAACTTTATTCTGTGCCTCCTGAATGGTCCTAATCTACTACATATAGAGCTTGATCTGGTTTCTTTTTTGGGTCCTTTTCATTCTCAGTCAAATATAGGAAGCTGTTTGAGTTACTGCCTCGCTGGTGTGGGGCACGATCCTTTTTCTAGGCTTGCTTTGTGGAGTTTTCTCTGTGCTGTACCTATATGTTAGGTGGGCAGGTGACCTTTAGCTAATTTATTCTGAAAATCACGACCATCAAATCAAATCCTATTCCTTTAAAGAGAAAACACACCTAGTCCCAATGTTCTTTGAACGATACTACAAATGCCACAAACTGAAGAGAAGAAAACACCTCAAATAACATTTTTATAGAATTTCATTTCTGTTTTATTCTCATATGGGGAACTATTATTGAAGAATATAAAGTTCCACATCGAAATTTACTAAATAAAATACAACATATAATGAATAATTTCACTGCTAACATCACTAATGTCTTTTGTGATAAAACCCCATAAATATTAGGTTTTGTAGATGGTTAAGTTAAGGACAATATCAGTGAGTTTTGTAGGTGATATGTTTACCCTTTGGATTAACTTTCTTTATGTGAGCGTGCCACGGTTAGTAGATAATACCCTAACAGATTTAAGTGACTTTATATACTAGCACCCCAAACAATAGAATTTAAACAAACGATTGTGATTCTGGGTGTGAAAACTTCACAATTTATCTAGACAAATATGGTCAGCAAAGCAAAATACACTGATTTATGGATAACATAACAAACAAATCCAAGCAGAACTGTCTGAAGCACAAGTATCAGATGAATCTCTAAATCTACTACTTCTTAGAGGTGTTTAACTTTGACTTCTGCTTGAAACAATAGTCGCAATGATGACTTATGATCAGGCTGGACTAGATTTTGTTGACTGGACTAAATGTTTATATACTGGAATTGCACGTTAGCATCTTCAACTAATATGGATTGGCTACAAATCGATACCAAGTTTGAAGTTGGCAAAGCTATAAACTAGTTGAGCCTTGAAGAGGCTGGGAAAGTGATCAGAACTACACGTGGGTACATGTTCTGGTTGATTCTAAATTATCTGGAAGCTATCTAGACTACTTCAAGACATTAAGATGTCTTTGGAAAATTTGTTCAAGTTCTCATATAATAAAATACCTGACTTCTGCCTGTTTTATCTAATTTTCTTAACCAAATTTGTAAGAGAAATTATTCTCTTTTGAATTCTGCCTAATTTACCATGTCTGGTTTACGAGAGAAATCTTGTTTTCTTCTTGGTTTTCTAAACTTCTTCTTGAGCTAGATTGCTTCTAAAGGAAGATTGCTTGCTTGCTTTTGGTAATTGCAAGATTGTATGACCTTTGATTTCTTTTGATCAATCTAGACTGATTGTTGAGTTTTTGTTTGATTGGTTGGTTGATTTTCTCCACTCCAGACACTCTTGTATTTATAGAAGAAAAAGTTATGCTAAAGAAATCTGGATATTATAGTTTTAGACTATCCTCCATTTAATGCATAAGTGGCAAAAGTTCTGTGAGTTCAATGCATTAATCAATTTTGGCATCTATTCATCAATGTTCCTGAATGCCTCCTGATCGTTCCTTTTGTAACAACCTAGCTGAAGTGAGCAATAATGCGCAGATTGTTCCAACGTTGGTACCATAAATATCCTAGTATCCTAGTGGAAGAAAAGAAAAAACTAGTGATTTTGCAATAAATAACCGTGTCTTTTTAACTAAAGCAAGTCTCACCTTACTTTCCAGCTTTTAAGGTCATAAATTTTCTTTGGATTTTAGCCACCAACGATGAGGGTTTACCCTGACAAAACCTTAGCCACTAATAAACTGTGATCTTTTGGGAAAAAAAACTATTATAAACAGCTTTGATTTTTTTGAATTGAATTACCATTGGTGGTAACTTTGTTTCTCAACTGTCAAAAATGTGAATTAGCTTAAATTGATTCCCAATAGTTGAATAGTATGGGCTTTTCACCATCTTTTGGTAAACTAAAGCCCAATGCCATTTTGGAGAGTGAATCCAATACTTGTTTCACGTTGGCATGTATATTTCAAGCCCAAACAGGATCGTTAGCCTATCTCTTCAAAATTTAACAGCTAATTGCTGGTTTTTATTTATTTATTTTTTATATTTTAGATTCTTTGCTAAATGCCCCTTAAATGGGAAATTGAAAAAGAAAAACATTAGAGGTTGGATGCGCTAAGCAAATCTCTGGGTACATTTAGAAGCACTCAAGTAAAAAATCAGAAATGGGCCCCAAAGAAAAAAATTATCCATAATTATTAGCTGCTCAGCCCACCTGTGTTTGGACATAAAATGGTCCATTCTAAACTTCGGCCAAGCAAAACTCCTTTTCAGCCTTGAGCCCAATTCATAAATAACTCCCTCAAAAATTATATAGTGAGGGTCTTATCTAAGGCCCTTAGATGAGACCCTATCTTTTAATTATTGGATAAAATGACTCTTTAGGGTAGTAGGGTCTGTTTCGTTCAATTCTAAATTGAGCACCAATAAGCGAACAATGAAGTATATACCACTTAAATAATGTTTCATAAACAAGGGGCTTGTAGCTGAAGTGATTGAAAGTAGTTATCCTTGCACATTAGGTCTTGTGTTTGAAGGTCACAAAAAAAATATCAATATGCATTAGATACTTTATTTAAGTTGTAAGGTTTTTACTAACACGCAGATGTAATCCCTGCTAACATTTCTTTGGATCATTATAGCAATAAGGCAAACAAATTTTTGTCATTTCCAGAAGTAATTTTACATGTAAGATACCAATCTATAGCTTAAAAAAAAATTAATAAACAAATCAATATAATGTCAATTACATGTCACACACATGACTCACCAAAACAAACACAAGTAACACCTTGTACCTATGATGAAAAGAGCTAAGAAAATCTAGCAAATCCCACACAAAACAAAACGCATGGTCTTTGCCCTCCTGTATGTCCTCACAATTCCGGAGGCAAGCACATGAGGAAACACCAGATCAATCAACTACACCACAGGTTTCACTGCATGGAATCTACACAGTGAAAAAAACCTCCATATATAAACCATCTTTCTCTTGACAAAACTTACTTGACAGGTTCTTCTGCTTTGACTTCAGGTGAGGGGACTTTTGAGCTGGGAGATTTCCCAATGATAGCTTTCTTCACCTTCACAATAGATTGCTTCACCTTTGATATGATGCCACCTGATTGCTTTTGTGCTGCTTTCACTGAAACATCTTGCTTTTCCTGATCTTTGGAAGCCTCAAGAGTCTCAGGCTCAGTTTTTGACTCATTTGCAGTTTCTTCTGTATTTTCAAACTTACTAGCATCATCCACAGTCTTGGCTTCTCCTACAGGTTCAACAATGGCAGAAGGCACAACCACCTCTTCATTCTCTTTGATGTCCTTGTACACATCTTCTTTGACCAGTACTTCTTTAGCCTCACCCAATTCTCTATCTGCAACTTCTGCAACATTTTCAAGCTTATTGTCATCCTCAGTTTTCTTTGCCTCAGTCTTTTCAATTTTCTCCTCAGTTTCTTGTTCTGTTTTGACAATCTTTTCTTCTTCCACTGCAGCATTTTCACTCACCTCAGTCTCATCCTTCAACAACTTTCCAACCTCATCAACCACACCTGCTTCTTTCTCTGTATTCTCAGCAACATGAGATACTTTTTCATTTGCTTGAGCTTCCTCAATGGCTGGGACAGAGCTTTCAGTGGCAACATTTTCTTCAGGCTTGAGTACCTTCTCAATATTTCTTTCCATCTCCAATAAAACTTTCAACCGTTCATGTGGTTTACCCTCCACTTCATTTACTGTTTCTGAATCTTTGACAAGAGATGTTTCCAAGGTTTCCTCCACTGCCTGACCAGCTGCTTCAGTTGATTGATCAGCCTCAGAAGCTTCAACCTTTGGTTTCTCATCATCTATCTGTTTATCAACTGGCTCAGTAGCTGGCTTCTCCTCTGGTTTATTCTCTTCTGCTTCCATTGCTTTTGTTTGCTCTGCTTCTTTCTCAACTGCCGCAGTTTCAATTGTCTCCACTAGTTTATTCTCATCTGCTTCAATAGTTTCTGCCTTCTCTGCTTCTTTCTCAGCTTCTTCAATTGCTACTTCCTCCACTGGTTTGTTTTCAGCTGCTTCAATAGTTTCTGACTTCTCTTCTTCTTTCTCAGCTTCTTCAGTTGCTACTTCCTCCACTGTTTTGTTTTCAGCTGCTTCAATAGTTTCCGCCTTCTCTTCTTCCTTCTCAGCTTCTTCAGTTGCTACTTCCTCCACTGGTTTGTTTTCAGCTGCTTCAATAGTTTCTGCCTTCTCTGCTTCTTTCTCAGCTTCTTCAATTCCTACTATCTCCACTGGTTTATCCTCAACTACTTCAACAGTTTGTGCCTTCTCTGCTTCTTCCTCAACTGCTTCAGTTGCTACTTTCTCCACTGGTGTATTTTCAACTGATTCAACTTTCTCCACTGGAACATTTTCAATTGTTAGACTCTCATCTGCTTGGCTTTCAACAGCTTCACTGGCTGAGTTTTTTGTGGTTGATGCTTCTGGATCCTGATCAGAACTCTCAACCTCTTTCGCTCCTGCTTCGACTGGAACGTGATCAACCTGGCCCTCGACAACGATAGGGTGCTCCGTCTGGTTATTCTCTGGTGTTTCTTCAGACATACTTGAAATTAACTGAGACTCTGAACCATCAGATTTCTCTGCTAGAACTACAAGATCTTCCTTTTCATCCTTTTTTCCATCATCCTTGGATGGAAGACTTTCAATCTCTTTGCTTGCATGTGTTATTTCTTCATGCACCTTTCCCTCAATTGGCTGCCATAAAACAAAATGATATTAGCTGCAACATAACATGACCAAAGAATAGAACACACAACCAATTTCGAATCATACTAACAGATTGGTAAAAACAACATCCACAAATCAAGAAAGCCTCATGAGACTTAAATTATTAACATATTGCGAGTTTTCTACGCATTGATCCGTGAGTTAAATGAAATGAAAGTTGGAGCCAGACAAATTGTACAATTGAACTGCCAAAAGAAATAAATTAAAGAGTCTAAGTTCCATAGAAAAAACAGAAACATATTACACACAAACATATTACAAACTAATCATACATAGCCGGAGAAGGGGGCGCTCTTCAAACAGCTTTAAAGCAAAAACTCAATATGTTTCTTCTACCAATATCTACTGAAGCACAGTGAGTTGCAAGTAAAACTACCAAAATTGGAAGGTTTCATACACAGAAACAAGTTTGGTCATGGAAGAACAAAGCCAGTCTAACTGTGGCTTGAAAGTGCTTGCATATCTAAACAAACATGCAAAGAGTTATATACATATCATGCACTAAACCTACACATATCAAGCACTAAACCTACACATATCAACTCCTCTGTCGGTAAAAATAATGAAATATATACACACACACACACACACACACAACATCTAACTAAAGAAAGAAATAGAACAGTTGTAAAAAGTAAGCAGGTTTACCTGATCATCAGCAGGAGCAGATGCAACAGTAGTCTCAGTAGACATGATGGCTATGGGATGAGATTCAAGAAGAAGAAGAAGAAGAAGAAGAAGAAGAAAAAGAATAGTGCTTTACTTTGCCAGTTGAGTTTCAAGAAACAGAGAGGCAAATAGAAATGAAAGGATAAAGAGCATGCATCCTATATATTTATATATACATAAAAATATATATTTGAGAAAAGCACTTGACAGAGGGGTTTGTCACATGAGCTGGTTAGGCATGTATGAAGGCGTCACATATCACACTAATCCCAGAAGACCCAGCCTTAATCATATTTAAATAAACACATAATCGAATAACACTTTAAATATTATTCAGTCTCCTTTCTTCTATATGTACATGGTGGCACGCACAAAGCCAACCCCCCCTCTCTCAGTCTCAGACTTTATCATTTCAGGTGTATTAATATATTTATATTGGTAAATAGTGAGGATATACACAAATTTACAGATCAAAAATCTACCTAGCATTCAGGCCTTGGCATGCACCAGGCTTGCTGCTGACAGCTTGTTGGTTGTTTTTGGGAAGTTTAGATTTTGACCAGAAAGTTCAAAGCTTCCTCCCCCAACTTGGGCTTGAAGGTTCAGAAAAAAAGTAATAGTCTTTGGCATGTTATCACAGAAAGTGATCATGATCTTCTACTTAAATGATTTCTTTTTTCTCTTCTCTAAGTACAGTTATTTAGATGTTTAATTAGTTCCCATCCCACAGAATGACCAGCCTAAAGTGTTTCAAATAGCATAAAATATATGATAAAGTCTTAATCAACAACCGCCTTTAGAATTGAAAGCAAAGCAACCAATATTCTTAGGGATGCAACAGAGAATGTGAAGTTGTTGATTGGCTTGCCAGCTTATGAACAGATAGACAAATCAACCGACTATGGAGTTGTATTCTTCAGGAATATTTAATCAAGATTTTGTAATCTAAATAGATATGGGGATTGTTTTCTTATAATTATATATTATTGATACAAGTAATAGTCTAAACTAATTTAAGTTACGGGAGAAAATCGAACTTGTGTGTAAAGAGGCAAATTCATTGTCCTAACCCACCTCTGATTCTTATAATTATTAATTATCATTACCAATGTGACATAACAGAACAAAACATGTAGAAACTTAGTGAAATACATTATTGTTTGGGGGGCGAGGATGGATAATAAAAGCAAGTTCCAAAAGCTTCTCTGAGGGAAGGGGTGAGGATAGACAGAAAGCAGGGTATGCCAAGAACCCCACGTTGTCAACTGACCCAAGAGCATGTGGAGAGGCAGGGGCCAGTCCACCTTTTCTTTTCTCAAGAAAATGGACCACTCACTTCTCCCTCCCTGCTGCTTTATATCTAATATATGATCTTTCTATAACCACGTTATAATTGCCCAAGAGAAAAGGCAAGTGATTAAGCATTTGATATGTGTCACTTATTAATGTTGACCTACTTGTACATGTAGCATATGACCTTAGTTTAGACGTGAGATTGTAGCTCTTGTGGGCTAAAGGCCAAATACGTTCATTCCCTTTGCAATTGGGACTTGGAAGGCACTCGTCCAGTTGTCCAGGCAATTGGCAAACATGTTTTGTCAGTGTCCCTTTGAAAAACTTCGATACACATATTTTTTTATCCGTCTTTCTCAAGTCAAGTGATGAGAGGGATATAATAAGGAGGGTATGAAATAAAATCCGGATATGTAAGTTTTTCTCCATCTAGCTCTCAGAGCTCCCAAGTCTGGCATATGCTATGGCGCCAATACGCTCATGAATCATGTTGCCCTAGATCTCAAGTCAGTTTGTCAATGCAAGCACATAGTTTGAATATCTATATCTCAATAGCTGTAAATAGCTCTCTGGCTGTGGATACAGGGCCCATTCATTCATTGTGCTTAGGGCGTGCTTTGAATTCAACTCTGTTTTGCTATTTGGACAAGTCCCTTCGACTTTATTTCAATTTTAGAAACAACCCAATGGGCCAATTGGTACCACTATCGCTTTTTGTCCCCAAAAATAAATAAATAAATAAATAAATAAATTTATGGATCAGTGTAAAATCATGAACTAGACAAAACATATCTAAATCCCAAACTATTATCTTATTTCTAATTAGTTCTAAATTAAACATTGAAAATAGAAAAGATTTCAAGTTCGAATTCTCACTTGTGAAAGTTGTTATCTTATTTATCTTACGTGAAATAACACATTTGAATCTCTAAAAGGAGAAGGTCAATTGGTACCACTATCAATTATGGATCAGTGTAAAATCATGTAGTTGGACAAAACACAACTAAATCCTAAGCTATTTATCTTATTTCTAACTAGTTCTTAAGGCTGTGATCTTATTTATCTTACATGACATAACACATACGAATCTCTGGTAGTGACTAGTGAGGCAGCAAGTCCAAGAATCAAGTATGTACAGCATGCAAGCACAGAGGCAGGCAATGCGTGACGCGAGAATGGTTCCAGGAGCTGTGAATTTTGTGGTCTTTGACGTACCAGTAGTCTCTCCGTCTGTAAAGTTAAAGCAAAGCTTTCCAACTTTTTGACTTGCTCCATATCCTATTTATTTACTATGTTTTGGGTATGTGGATGCGCACCAGGACTTGGCCCACCATGGTTGGTTGAATTGAAACTTGAAAGTGAAAGATGTGATTATGGAATATTGTTTAATAGGAATTTGGATGATTTCATTTGTTTGTTGTTAGTTTCTTCCATAAACTACAATAACATATGCCTTTGAAAAATTATATACCAGAGCATAACATGTTCTAAAATATTAATGTACCACATTAAAAGAGAAAGAAGGGAAAG